CCAGGGCCCGAGCCGACCCAGGCTGGAGCCGCCGGGGGGGCCAGCCTGGGCTGCGCCTCCTCCCCCCCCACCCTCCTTACCTGCTTCAGGCTTCCCGAGAATCAAATGTTCGCGGGAAGCAGGGGAGGGGACGGAGACTTTGGGGAAGGGGCGGAGTTGGGGTGGGGGGCGGGGCCCCGTGGAGTGTCCTCCATTTGGAGGCACAAAATATGGTAACCCTAGAATTAGTTAGGGAAGTGGACTGGACTGAAGAACTTGAGTATCTGAATATGGAGGATGCTTGGAGTTAGCTTTTGCAACTTTGAGTTACAGTATCTGGAGCATGCATCCCAAGCAGGGGGCAAAAAATCATAGGGAAGGGAAATTTGTTCAACCTGGATAGACAGGCACCTCAAACAGGTTATTAAGAGAAAGCCAACAAAGAATGGAAGAAGAGATGGATCAGCAAGGAAAACTGCCTCTTGCAAGTCAGAAAGTTGTAGGGAAAAAGTGAGATCTGCCAAAAGCCAAGCAGAGCTGGACCTTGCAAAGGAAATTAAAACCAACAATAAGATTCTTTACCCATATAATTTAAAAAATAGATAAATAAAAACAAGGAAAGAAAAGAAGTGGGACCACTAAGCACTGAGTATTGGGTAGAGATTAAAGAAAATCTAGGTATGGCCTAGCACCTAAATGAATATTTTGCCTCAGTTTTCAATAAGAGTAATGAGGAGTTTGGGAACAGTGGCAGGATGGCTAATGGGAACTAGGATATGAAAGTAGAAATTACCACATTCAAGCTAAAAGCCAAATTCAATCAGCTTAATGGGACAAAATCAGGAGGCCTGGACAACCTCCATCCAAGAATATTAAAGAAACCAGCACATGAAATTGCAAGCCCCATAGGAAATTATTTTTAATGAATACCTAAACTTGGGCATCATACCCTGTGATTGCAAACATAGTACTTATATTTAAGAAAGGAAAATACATGATCTGGGGAACTACAAGCCTGTTAGTTTGACCTCAATTGTATGCCAGGTCTTCGAACAAATTTTGACAGAGTGCTTAAGGACATAGAGGTAAATGATGATTGGGATAAAATACAACACGGTTTTACTAAAGATATCGTTCATACCAACCCGATCTCTTTCTCTGAGAAAATAACTGATTTCATGGACAAAGGAAATGCACTAGATCTATTTTACCTGGATTTCAGTAAAGCATTTGATACTATTCCACATGGGAAATTATTAATTACTTTGGAGAAGATGGCGATTAATATGAGAATTGAAAGGTGCTTAAGAAACTAGTTAAAGGGAATGGGTCATTCTGTGAAAGGTGAACTGTCAGGCTGGAGGGAGATTACTCGTGGGGTTCCTCAAAGTTCGGTCTTGGGACCAATCTTATTTAACATTTTTATTAATGACCTTAACACAAAAAGTGGGAATGTGCTGATAAAATTTGTGGATGACACAAAGTTGGGATCAGAGTAGCAGCCGTGTTAGTCTGTATCTGCAAAAAGAACAGGAGTACTTGTGGCACCTTAGAGACTAACAAATTTATTAGAGCATAAAT